CACAGAAGACCTGCCTTATAGATTTTCGAAAGGTTTCTGTAGTGTAAAAGTGCCCTGCGCGTACCGTCAAACGGGGCGAATCGGGACGATTTTCAGTTACCTACTTTCCTCAATATCTTTTTATTTAAATTAGATAAATCAACAATTTTTAGAGGAAAGTGACCTCCTCTGTTTCTTTTTTTAAACAATGCTTCGTGCGAGTTTTTAGCTTTTATTGTAAACGCAAAAAAAAATATTTTTAGAGGTGTCCCGATTGACCCCGCATTTGGGTTCAATCAGGACAGAGGCTCGAAAATGTTCGATTAACCCCGCGTAGGGGGCCAATAGGGACAAAAAATATAAAAAAAAACAGTTTTCAAATTTTTTTATTGATGACGTCATATTAAAAAAGCCTATTTATTTAGCTCCTTCTAAAATAAAGCCCTTTATATTTTAATTGGCAGATCCCTTCGGATCTGACCCAACGCTATTTGTAATGTTTGCGGGTCATAATTTTGATAAATTTTGCCCCACAGGGGTTCTTTTATAGGTGCGGACCATTGTCCCAATTGACGCCATAAAGTGACAAGAATAATAAAAAAAATTGATTAAAAAAAACTATAAAACTTACAAACTTTTGCTTAGGCGCAACAGGTGACTAAAATGTTTGAGATACTCTAAATAAATTGACGGAGCTTAAAAATCATTTTAAGTACCAGTACCAACAAGAGTTTCGCGCTGTATTAAAATTACGTATTTTTTTGTCGCGCCCACCGTAACACCATGTCCGGTGTTTATAAGCGAACTAATGCCCACATCCTTCAAGAAGATGCCCAGAGCGTCTACTTTAAGAAACATCCATTTTTCGTCTTGAAAACATTCGCCAAATGTGCAAAATCGCGTAACTTCTAAGGTGGCGTCGATTTGTCCCGAATGATCACTTAGTCCTGATTCGCCCCGTTTGTGCTGTAATAATTTTACAGCTCGGATGTGCAAAAATACGAAAATTGCTGATAGCGGCCTCCAAATCTTCATCAAGTTTGAAATGTTTGGTATCAATCTTTTAGTTTTAATGCAAACATTCTTATTTAGGACAGTGCGGGTTTATTAAAAAAAAATTCTTATTAAAATAAACAGTAAAAAATTAGCACAAAAAATTGCATAGATCAGCAGATATAAGTTAATTACCTGAACAGGGTTAAAAAAATTAAATAACCAATAATAATTATTTTAGCAATGTGATAATCTAGCGAATTATCAATTTTAATATTGGCCCACTTTACAAATTTTAACTCTGGTGGTAATGAACTTCAAAAGCACACAGAAGACCTGCCTTATGGATTTTCGAAAGGTTTGTGTAGTGTAAAAGTGCCCTGTGCGTATTAGAAAAAATCTACTAACTCACTAATTAAATACCACGCGCTTGGAAAGCTTTAGGCCCGCTTGCCATTATGCTAATTTTAGTACTGAATTTAGTACTAAAAATATTAGGTGGTTGCGCAAGTCGATTTAGTATGAAAAATATGGGTTTCTGTTTGCAACTACATTAATATTATTTAGTATGTAGGCATGCGCTCTAACAATTTTGTATTTTGTGTACTGATAACCTAACCTAACATAACATAACACGATATAAATGATTGCGAAAAAAAGCTAAAATTATGTGCAGTAGCTTTAATTGTAATAATGATACGAGTAATTAAGAAAATAAATCTTACCTACACATCTTAAAAAAGCGGATATGAAGAAAAAAATGGATCAAGGAAAGAGGGTTAGGCAAAGGAATATTAAATATGTTTCTCTACTCCTTCATTGACGAGCTGCGACTTTATGGCGTTTTAGTCACGGGCTGAAGTTAGCAACAGTGGCTTTTGGGCATTTTAGTCACGGGCTGAAGTTAGCTTTATTATAAATTAGGGAAATGTGAGGTTAAATCCATTAAAAGTTGACAGATGTCAAAATTTTAACAAATAAAATTGGATTTAAATTCTTTTTCGTGTGCGTCATAGATAAAGTATAGTATGCAACTCGTTTTATGAAATTCTCTAGACACTCGTTTTTATTAAACACTCGCTTGCAAGCTTCGCTAAAAAAACTAATAAAACTCGTAACTAAAATGGCATTTATAAAACTTGATACATAATATACTATTAACGAAAAATTCTTAGTATCATCGGTACCAGCTCCGCTTTTTACAGATAACAAATATTTTCTATGCTGTACCAAAAAAATTGTCCGTAAATTGTTAAATTTGGCTTTTATGCATCTATCGCAGAAATATATTTCTGCGATAAATGCATCTACGCCTAATTTGGATAATTCCTCCTTTATTTATTCCAATGCTTTGATTTTTGCATTTCTGTTTTTGTACATAGAATCTTTTCGCACATATAGACACGGATTTGCTTTGTATAGCTCAATCAAAGTCTCTATTTGTTTATGACTCCACATGTTTAAGCACACAACATAAGCACTTTTAGTTGACAATGTCAACTTGACATTTCAGGATTTTTAGTACAAGAAATTAGAACATGCTCTAATTTTTCGTACTTAATCGGCGCGCGCATCTAATTTGTAAACAAAATATTTTTAGTACTAAATTCAGTACTAAAATTAGCATAATGGCAAGCGGGCCTTAGTCTAAAAAATATCCAAAGAAAAACTCTCTGGACCAATTTATTAGAATTTTATAAAAATTTGAAAAAGGCCTACTTTAATTTTGTTCATCTGTTTATATAAAATAAAAAGCATAATATAGTTGAAATATTTTAATCATAATATTAAACAAAATCAGACTTTTCATAATACATGAATATTCTAAATTAAGTACCTAAAATTAAAAATATACATAAATCACAACGAATATTATTTGAGTACCTATTATAGTATAATACTGTTATAACAAAAATATAAAAGATACTTAAATAATAAAATACTGCTTTATAATTTCGAATTGATATTCGTTTTATTTTTGATACAATGCTTGCTATAGGTATGTGGATAATAAAAAAGTTACAAGATACAATATTTACATTGGTAAAATTTAAATCAATATTAAAAGATAAACAATTCAATCATTCCTTTGCAAAAAAAGTAATTTAGGGTTCCAGGTAGTTAATTTTAAGACTTTTATTTTTTCGCCAACAAGAAAAATATTGTTTTATTATCCTTTATTCTTTATATTTTACCTGTGTCATTTTGAATTAATATAAAATATACAAAATTTATTTATACAGGTAGCTTTAAAACATGATATGCATAAAAATATGCATATGATTACGATATATAAATGCGTATAATAAGTACTTAAAGCAATGCGTAGGCATTGATAAATTTAAGGTAAATGAAATATATATTTATATATATATATATATATATATATATATATATTAGGGTGTTTAAAAAAAAACTTAAATTACTTTTTTTTCTAATGGTGTTGAAAAATTAATAATACATTAAAAAACAAAAATTTTTTCGCATATTTGAGCCCTTAATATTAATATTAAGGTTTGCCTCAATTCATTTGTTGTTTTTCCATTTCAATAACACGGGAATTTTTATTTTATAAATTTTGAATTCTTATAACTTTGGAATGGTTTGTTTTCGCAACACCCAAGCGAGAGGAGTTATAAACAATTTCACGCTCTACAAAAAACATCTGAAGGTCAAAGTTCTTCAGGTCAACCGTTTCAAAGATATCAGCGATCAAAAATAACATAAATAACATAAATAAAAAATTTCAAATATTTTCAAATAAAATACAAAAAAATATCATATGCCATATTTATATTATTTTTTATGTAAAATCACTTTAATTCTGTTAACCTGAGACTGTAAACTTTTTTTTTATGTATATATGACATATTATATGTATATTAGGGTGTCCCAAAAAAAAAGAATATATTTTTTTTTCTTGTCTCTTGTAAAAATATGTTAGTTTATCATGCTGTAAGAGCCCTTTCAAAATATCAGCTCGATTAAAAATTTTGTAGGGGTCGCTCAAGATTTTTAAAAATTTTCAAAATCGTCAAAAATTGAATTTTTGTTTTATTTTAATTTTTTTTCTCGTCTCGATATTATTTTTTAGGTTTGAAAATAATAAAAATTCTGTAAATTTCAAATCAATATTTTGATTTCTAAATGTCGCTAAAAGGTCGTTGATATTTATATTCAGAGGTCGCTCGAAAACATTCAAAATACTCTACTTTGAAAGTTAAAAAAATCTTGAGCGACCTTTAGAAATTAAAATATTGATTTGAAATTTTCAAAATCATTATTATTTTTAAATTAAAAAATAATATTGGAACGAGAAAAAAAATTAAAATTAAAAAAAATCCAATTTTTGACGATTTTGGTAATTTTTAAAAATCTTGAGCGACCCCTAAACATTTTTTAATGGTGCTGATCTTTTGATAGGGCTCTTAAAACATGACAAACCAACATATTTTCACAAGACACGAGAAGAAAAAAAATATTCTTTTTTTTTGGGACACCCTAATGTATATGTATATATATATGTATAATATACATTGTATATATGTACCTATATATAAATAAAAAAAAGTTTACAGTCTCAGGTTGACAAAATTAAAGTGATTTTACATAAAAAATAATATAAATATGGCATATGATATTTTTTTGTATTTTATTTGAAAATATTTGAAATTTTTTATTAGTGTTATTTTTGATCGCTGATATCTTTGAAACGGTTGACCTGAAGAACTTTGACCTTCAGATGTTTTTTGTAGAGCGTTCAAATGTCTATAACTCCTCTCGCTTGGGTGTTGCGAAAACAAACCATTCCAAAATTATAAGAATTCAAAATTTAAAAAATAAAAATTCCCGTGTTATTGAAATGGAAAAACAACAAATGAATTGAGGCAAACCTTAATATTAATATTAAGGGCTCAAATATGCGCCAAAGTTTTTGTTTTTAATGTACTATTAATTTTTCAACACCATTAGAAAAAAAAATAATTTTAATTTTTTTTGAAACACCCTCATATATATATATATATATAATAAGAACTTTAAGGAATGCATAAGCATTGAATAAATAAAAGGTTAATTTTAAAGAACATAAATTTATACCTAGGTATTTAATTCAACAATTGTAAAATTTGTAGCTACTTATATTGTCTAAAAAAATCTTTTATTGCTTAAAATATGTGTGTAGCTATATATACATTATAATGTAGCTATAAAGTCTTCAATTAGGGGTCGTTCATAAATCTCGTAACGCTGGAGGGAGGGGGGTTTGAAGTACAGTAACGATTTGTCATGCCCGAGAGGGGAGGGTTTTTTAAACATCACGTGACAAAGTAAATTGTTGACCTGTTCCATTTTTAGTCAGATTAATACGAAATAAATATTTTTAGGTGGTAGGGGAGTTCGATAATTCGTCCCATGACCTTCAGGGGGAGTCTTCACATCTTCACATTTTCTTACGAAATATAGAGGGGAGGAGGTCAATTTTGGTCAATTTTGACCATTTTTAGCATCACGAGATTTAGGACGGCTCCTTAGATAATAATGAAGTTATATTGTAAAATAAATATAATTACAACATTAACTGATTTTTGATCTTTGGTTCTAAACCATGTTTGGGACTTTTTAAATTTACAACGACTAAATCAAAACATAAACTGTTTTCATATAAATACAAATAATAATATTAGGTACTACATAATTTATTATTAAGTTACTTGCAAAACTTTACAAAATAATTTGTGTCTAAACAGCATCAACTATTAAACCATGTGTTATTATTACTTAAGTACGTAGGTAACTGCCAACTGTATCAAACCTAATACTAAATTATTTGTCAATTCCTAAATAAATCTCACTGAATTTCTCTCTACAGTCGTTTTTTGTCTTTTACATGATTTAATTTAAATTTAAAAGCGAAACAATTTAAATCACCTATTGTGTATTTTTTGTAAAAGTTTGTTAAACCATTCCAAATCCTTCTGTTCCTTCACTTATTGCTAGAAGAAGCGACTTTTCAAAATGCTCGTAACAATCGTAGTCAGGCAGGCAAAGTTGATTAAAACTGAAAAAAATACTTTATTGTTTACTCTAAACGACTCAATAACACCAGGCAAGAATATTTTACTAATTTCAAATACTTTTTTTTATTTATTACAATTTTATAAAAATACGTTTTGCTGGCAATTATTAAAATAAATAAATATCATTATTACATTCCCTGACAATTCATGTAAGGTTTTGTGAATTATTTCTCTATGCCAACTCACCAACCTTTATGGGGCGCCGTTTTATTTTTTATTCAGTAATTATTTTTATGTGTTAACAATAAAGTCATATTTTTAATTAGATACAAAATATCACACAAGAATTTTTATTCTGCGAATTAATATCATAGCAGATATTTTAAAATTAAATTTAATTTTTATGCCAAACTGATATTTTTAATTTAGCGAATTTAAATTATCTGTTTCTTATATTTGTATTTTATTGCTCAACACATATTTTTAATTCGCTAAATTAAAAATTAGATTTAATTTTTATGCCAAACTGATATTTTTAATTTAGTTAATTTAAAATATTTGCTTCTAATATTTGTATTTTTTTGCTCAACACATATTTTTAATTCGCTTCATTAAAAATATCTTATGACAATTTTTTAAATGTATTAAAAATGTCATAGCAGGTATTTTCAATTCGATTTAATTTTTATTTTATTAAATAAGCAGATATTTTTAATTCAATGTGATATTTTTAATTCCGACTGGTTGAGAGTTTGGATACCCCTGTTATTCCAAACGATATAAAAACCGACCCACTCCAACAACAAACTAACGCGCACTGTCCTTGTTCTGCACACGCTGGGTCAGTGCGACATCGGACTCACGTATGTCGTAGATCTCAGTTATTGTGCCGCCATCTAGCGATAAAATTAATTTGTAATGCCAGGGATGTCCAAACTTTCAGTCGGAATTAAAAATATCACATTGAATTAAAAATATCAGCTTATTTAATAAAATAAAATTTAAATCAAATTAAAAATATCTCCTATGATATTTTTAATACATTTAAAAATTTCTCCTATGATATTTTTAATTAAGCGAATTAAAAATATGTGTTTACCAAAAAAATACAAATATAAGAAGAAAATATTTTAAATTCAATAAATTAAAAATATCAGTTTAACATAAAAATTAAATCTAATTTTTAATCAAGCAAATTAAAAATATGTGTTTGACAAAAAATACAAATATAAAAAACAGATATTTTAAATTCACTAAATTAAAAATATCAGTTTGGCATAAAAATTAAATCTAACTTTTAAATATCTGCTATGATAATTTTAATTCGCAGATTAAACATGTTCATGTGATATTTTTTATTTATACATATATTTTAAAAACTAGATCTAATTTTTATGCCAAACTGATATTTTTAATATATTTAATTTAAAATATTTACTTCTTTTGATTGTTTTTTTTTTGTTAAACACATATTTTTAACTCGTTTAATTAAGAATTAGATTTAATTTGTATGCCAAACAGATATTTTTAATAGGGTGAATTTAAAATATATGTTTCTTATATTTGTATTTTTTGTCAAACACATATTTTTAATTTGCTTAATTAAAAATTAGATTTAATTTTTATGCCAAACTGATATTTTTAATTTATTGAATTTAAAATATTTTCTTCTTATATTTGTATTTTTTTGGTAAACAAATATTTTTAATTCGCTTAATTAAAAATATCATAGGAGAAATTTTTAAATGTATTAAAAATATCATAGGAGATATTTTTAATTCGATTTAAATTTTATTTTATTAAATAAGCTGATATTTTTAATTTAATGTGATATTTTTAATTCCGACTGAAAGTTTGGACATCCCTGGCATTACAAAATAATTTTATCGCTAGATGGCGGCACAATAACTGAGATCTACGACATACGTGAGTCCGATGTTGCACTGACCCAGCGTGTGCAGAACAAGGACAGTGCGCGTTAGTTTGTTGTTGGAGTGGGTCGGTTTTTATATCGTTTGGAATAACAGGGGTATCCAAACTCTCAACCAGTCGGAATTAAAAATATCACATAGAATTAAAAATATCTGCTTATTTAATAAAATAAAAATTAAATCGAATTCAAAATACCTGCTATGACATTTTTAATACATTTAAAAAATTCTCATAGGATATTTTTAATTAATCGAATTAAAAATATGTGTTGAGCAAAAAATACAAATTTTAGAAGCAAATATTTTAAATTAACTAAATTAAAAATATCAGTTTGGCATAAAAATTAAATCTAATTTTTAATTTAGCGAATTAAAAATGCGTATTGAGCAATAAAATACAAATATAAGAAACAGATAATTTAAATTCGCTAAATTAAAAATATCAGTTTGGCATAAAAATTAAATCTAATTTTAAAATATCTGCTATGATATTATTAATTCGCAAAATAAAAAATTTTGTGTGATATTTTGTATCTAATTAAAAATATGACTTTATTGTTAACACATAAAAATAATTACTTAATAAAAAATAAAACGGCGCCCCATAAACCTTTATTCCTGAGCAATAGAAAATAAAATAAAACAGTTCGGTCTAGGGTTGCTAGGCTTTTTATATTTAATAATATTTAACGAATATACCTACTCCTTAAACATAAAGGCAAAATCTTCTATATTTCAGCATTTTGGAATAAAAAAGTATAGTTGCAATGTTTAGTTTAAATTGTTGTACAATATATATTTATTAAGTTGGGTTTAAAATATAAGGTTTAATCAATACTATTTTTGTGTTTTTTTATTTTTATTTAATAAAATATGTTTGGTATATTTTTATTTTTATTAAATAAGCAATTATACCTAATGAATTAAGTAAGATTTATTTAAACCTACATTTTTTATACTTCTATCTTTTCTAGTTACAGCATTTTGATTTCTGGCAACCCTGGCTCTGTCAAACTGTCACAAATGCTGGGATATTATTTATTAATGTAATTTACTTTTTACTAAGCTGTTATTTTGTCACTCCTTGAATACAAGATATGTAAATGCATCCATAACAACCGATGCGTAATGAGAGCAAGGGCGTCGATAATTTTTTCTTTGGGGGGGGGGTAACATATAAGAAAAATAATTTTGCAAAACTGTTTATTTGCATTCGTATATTGGCGAAAATGAGTACCAAAACTAAATATCTCAAACATAATCATAAACATATATTATTTTTTAAGTACCTGTAAATGTAATCTTTTTAAATATACAATTCAAATTTAGTACATCAGAGATGCGTACAAGATGCGAGAGATTATTAATCTAAGGATGCTGGGGGCGGGCGTTCACTCTAGATGTTGCGCACATGATGCGAAATCATTGCGATTTTACATAAGCTGTTAGGTAAAGCACACGGGAGGAAATGGTGCTCGTATTCGACCCCGACTGACGTCACACACTGTAAATACGTTATTATTTCCCGAGCGTTATAAATTCGACGTTAAGCTGGATAGTAGTGCGGTCGCTTGGCATGCGAGAGGTACCTAGTTCGATACATAAAAGTTGTCGAACTTTTTTTATTTTTTTGTTTTATGAATTTGTTGTTTCTTTATTAAAAAGTGTTGGGTTGGTTGGTTTGTTTTAGTTTTAGTTTTATCGTAACATAAAATCTTAAAATTTTGACGTTAGCGTGAGAATAAAAATTAAATTGTGTTCGATACTCAGAAGTTGTCGAAATTTTTTTTATTTTATAAATTTGTTGTTCTTTTGTTAAAAAGTGTTGGGCTGGGTTGGGTGGTTTGGTTTGTTTTAGTTTTATCGTAACATAAAATCTTAAAATTTTGACGTAGCGTGAGAATAGACACAGCGTACCATACGCTGCGTATCATAATATAAATATTATTATAATATTAAATTGTGTTCATGTTAGCGTGAGAATAGACACATCGGTTGTTATGGATGCATTTACCCTCAGAAAATAACATTATTTTATGTGAGTGAAACATAAAATCTTGTATGCACCACTGGCGTTACTACGAGCGACTTCTTAATAACACCCTTGCTGCATAAATATATTTAGCTATAGCTTATACACTTATACTTGAAAAAGGAAAACTTTAAATGTAAGTGCTAAATCTACCATATTTATACTAATTATAAGCTAAGGTTGACTGAACTGTGAACGGACACAGTTTAATAAACCGTGGGCCATAACCGCTTTAATAAACATGTAAAGAGAAACTATACTTTGTTATAACAAACTAGAACTAATGTGATGTTAAAGTCTCCAATTTATAGTATCCCTATTGAAAATGCCATATAGAACCATATAAAAAACACGTATCTGGATTCTATATGGTTTCTATCTGGTTCAATATAGGTATTTGAAACAGGCATTTCACTATAGAACCAGATAGAAGATTACATTATAGAACCAGATAAAAACACTCTAAAACACTATAGAACCAGATAGGGAAACCTATCTGGAAATACATATAGAACAGAAACCAGATAAATCCATATACATCCATATACATGTCTTTATAAAGACATGTATATGGTTGTATATGAAAATTTTTAAAATGGAAATCCATATTCAACCATATAGAATCCGTAATGTAAACCAGGACTTTCCATATAGGACCTATAAAACCATATAGAACCAGATACGTTTCCTTATCGGATTCAATATGGGTTCTATATGGCATTTTCAATAGGGATGTGTATAAATTTCAATGATCTCTGTATTAATTGTGATATTCATTTCTCATCTTTAGATGTGATAATTAAGGATTTAGTTGAAAATTTTAGTAGGTAACTCACCAATATTATGTTTCTTTTTCAAAGTTTATTTTGTTAACTAAAATTGCCATATATTTTATTTTATTTTCTTTTTATATTTTGTCCTGTTATTAGATCTTGTATCTGTTGGGCAATAAAGATTATTATTATTATTAATTTATACAAACTAGAGTTGGGTACCGGTCCGTTATCGCTATTTAAAGATTTATTTCCATTTTTAAGGCCTATAAACTTTTATAAAGCTATAGTTCTATCTAGTCAAATCCTATTCTATGACCATCATTGAGTATATGTTGGGCAACACTTGATTTTTCTGTCCTACTAAATCTAGCATGGGCCAAGTGCTCCTTGAACCTTGGATGGATCGTTTAGTTTGTCCAACATATTTCATGTCACAATCTTGACAGTTTATTTCGTATACTTTTCAATTTTAGGAACCTTATCTTTCGGGTTGCCTAAAAGGGTCTGCTGTTTGCAACCAATATATATTGAATTATACTCCAAAACATGTATTTTCAATTTTATAATCTAAAAAACAACTAAAATCCATGGTTTTTTGCTGGTTTTTACTAAGAATAACTATCTTTTTAGCATACAAAAAATCGCAAATATAAAAAATAAGATGACTTACATTTAAACAAATCAGTGCAAGGAGAACTAACGAACTAAAACGAACTAAACATGGATGCTCGGTAGGCGCATGAATATCGACATCCGATCGGATAGCACTGATCCAGCACGATTGCGAGAAACATGTTTAGTTCGTTATATATTCGGTTGGGATCAGGAGATTAAGATGAAACTTGCACTGATTTGTTTAAAATTAAGTCTTCTTTGAAAATGTAATCGGTTCTTGATATTTGCAAAAGTTTGCATGCTTCAAAGTTACAGCGCAAATATCACGCTGAAATAGTAAATTCTGTAACAAGTTTGGAATACAGAATATTCCGCTTGAGTGAAAAATCTGTTACACGAGCCGAAGGCGAGTTTGACGGCTTCACGAGAACGGAATATGCAATTCCAAACGTGTTTCAGACTACTTTTTCTAAGTTTCCAAAAAATACCATAGTAAAATAATTTAATTTGGAGAAAGTGAGGTTGGATCGGTCTACAATGTGTTAGTTAAAACCAGAGATTTCGCCACCAAAAATATTTCATTCTGTAACACTTCACGGAATATATATCATTACATATATAAAAGTGATATTAGAACGGTCATATTTCGTAAAGAGAGTAGAAAATAGTTATTTGTTTTACAAGTGTTGAAAAGCGACTTTTTCATGCGAGTTTTTAAGTTGCCCACGAGGCCGTCAGGCCGAGTGTGCTTTAACACGAGCTTGAAGAAAGCTTTTCTCACAAGTATAACACAATGTTTTTTCTGCGACCCTTTTATTTTTTATTATTTTTAAATACAAAACAAAATAACCTAAAAACTTTTTTGACAGCTGAATGTCAAACGATGCTTTCCGGTTCTTTTCACACAGACCTGTCACTTTTCACACAGAAATGTCACTTTACATTCGTGTTTTGCCTTGCCAATGAAAAGATTCATTTTCTAAGCAACGATGCCATCATGAAAAGTGACTTTTACATAGTGGTCGTAGAAAAACATTTTTTTATCTCATTTTCTGAAATTCGCATGGCCATATCTTCTGATAATCAAAAGATACAAAATTGATTCAAAAACTGTTTAATGGAGAATTGTATAAGCTTTAAAATAAATATTAAAATCTCTGCATTTAGAATAAAAAGTATAGTGATTCGTAGTAAAAACCAGCAAAAAACATGGATTTTCAGATTATAAAACTGAAAATAAATCTGTTTTGCAGCATAATTTAATAAATATTGTTTGCGATGAGAGAAATTTTTTGATAAAAAGTTTTACAGTGGAATGGTTTTGGACGTAGTTAAAAAAATTAACACACAAAAACTTGAGAAATCTTTTTTTGTTCCTTCCATAAATGATTTTCATTTTCAGCTTAAATCACTTAATTATATTAAAAGAAAAGAAATTTGGAGAGAAATTAAATTTAACCTTTGGGTTAAACTTAGAGTTACTCTAAGGGGTTAAACCTCATACAAGCGCACCGTAATTAGTTTTGCAGATACACTCTGGCTGCAATAGGTTCAAAAAGAAGTTTTGTTTATAAGATATCTGTGATTTTTGACCTTCCTCAAGAAACAAGGATGTATTATAATCCATGCACGAGATTAGCATATTTTGCAGATACCTAATGAAATATACTATTCCACATATCATAAATGACATGGCATTGTAGTCAAATGTGTACATTATTGGATTATTATTAAGAACTGAACTCAATTTCTATAAACTAGAATCAAAAACATTTTCTTAATGGGTTTTTGTTATGTTGTAACATACGGTCGTATACTTATATATATTACTTACCAAGTATGCGCAGTAGGCAGATTGCCGAATGTCGGAGCAGCAGTGATTTGAAAGCGTGGCGTGAGCTCCTTGAATCCGCCTGGTGGTAGCTGCGAGCAGCCGGTGGTGAACTGCAGCAGTCTGGCCATCTCCTCTTGCGTGAAATTGCCGACTGCCGCCCAGAACCAGCCGACAATACGTCGAAATTCCGAAGAATTGCCGTTGACGACGTGGTGCGCCTTGAAATCCGCGATGCTGTACTGCCCGGTGCCACAGAGCAACAACTGGAACGCCCATAGTTACAGGAATTATTAAATTATTATCGAATTTAAGATATATGTATGCCAGTTCATGTTACGTTCTATTAAAGGAACTAAATTTTATAATTAAAAAAAAAGTTTTTTTTAAAAATAATTTTTGTTTTTCGGTTGTTAATGCTGGTACCGTGGCGTCGGCAGTTTTATTATTCTTCTGAAGAAATTCAATCTATTTTTTAAGTAGTTGAATTCGCGCTACAGAGAAAAAGGGAATGTTTGAATGTAATGCGAAACGTATATTTAAAAATTAAAATTGTCTAACGCAAAGAATAAGCAAGATAAGAATAAAAACGATAGTCAATTCCAATGACCATAGGAAATTCTTTAAATTGATGGGCTAAACCACATAGTTATTGGACACTTAAATTTATATATGCCGTTGTTATAAATATTTTAGTTTTTATCTTATGAATATATAAAAAGGATAGTTTGTTTGTTTAAACTTTATTTACTTTTACTTAGAAATAAGAATATTTAAATAAAAAAACATGCAAAAAAGTAGGTATAGTAATTGGACAGTATATATAGTAATTTGACACATGAAACATAGTTATTGGACATACAATTTTTATATAAACATAACAACTTTACATCAAATAACATAAATTGTCGAATATTGTTTATGCTGTTTTAGGTAATTTTTTTATTTCGTTTGTAAATATCATATAATTCATATACAAAAAAAAGTGCTCTTTTAGTTCCACCCTTACTTCTTAAGAAGTCCCATAAGCCAACTGAATGGCTTGTGCGGGTTAGGGGTAGGAACGGACCGCGGGCTTAAAGTCCCCTCCGAAGGACTAATACACAATAGGACAAACACAAATAAACCCCTGGTGGGATTCAAACCCACGACCTCCGGCTTGTAGTCAGCATGCACTAGACCACTAGACCACCGTCGGCGGTTATATATATTTCTTTCTCGGATTCTTCATCCCGTTCTTCATCGTTTTTTTAAGTATCATAAATTTTATCTGTCTTTTTCGGATTCCTCATCTCGTTTTGCATCGTATTTGTATCATATAATTTATCTATTTGTTTCTCGGATTCCTCATTCAGTTCTGCATCAGCAAATTCTTTTTCTACTCCTATTACGGAATTTGACCGTTCTATTACCACTTTTATCTATGGAATGACATATATTCCGTAAAGTGTTACAGAATGAAATATTCTACCATCCTATGTCAGAATAAACACTCGTGGCGACATCTCTGTTTTTAATATCTAACAAATTTTAGACCGATCCAACCTCACTTTCTTCCAATCAAATGACTTTTCTATGGTATTTTTTAGAAACGTAGAAAAAGTATAGTCTGAAACACGTTTGGAATTGCATATTCCGCTCTCGTGAAACCGTCAAACTCGCCTTCGGCTCGTGTGACAAACTCTTCACTCGAGCGGAATATGCTGTATTCCAAACTTGTTACAGAATATACTATTACTTCTATTAGAATTATCATTATCATTATAATTACTCTCTTTGTAACATGATGCCCTAAAAATATATCATCTTCCAATTCTTCAGGTATGTTATTGATGTTTCTTAGGAATGCACTACCCTATTGAAAATGCCATATAGAACCATATAAAAAACACGTATCTGGATTCTATATGGTTTCTATCTGGTTCAATATAGGTATTTGAAACAGGCATTTCACTATAGAACCAGATAGAAGATTACATTATAGAACCAGATAAAAACACTCTAAAACACTATAGAACCAGATAGGGAAACCTATCTGGAAATTCATATAGAACAGAAACCAGATAAATCCATATACATCCATATACATGTCTTTATAAAGACATGTATATGGTTGTATATGGATTTATCTGGTTTCTGTTCTATATGTATTTCCAGATAGGTTTTCCTATATGGTTGAATATGAAAATTTTTAAAATGGAAATCCATATTCAACCATATAGAATCCGTAATGTAAACCAGGACTTTCCATATAGGACCTATAAAACCATATAGAACCAGATACGTTTCCTTATCGGATTCAATATGGGTTCTATATGGCATTTTCAATAGGGTACTTATGAAGTTTTTTTTGAAATTCAGTACAATGTAAATAGCACCTCTTTTGAGTTGCGGCTCTGGTCTTCCTGTTTATGTAGACTCATCCAGTTTTCGTTTAGGGTGTATGAGTATGAGTATAAGAACGTATGGCAGGCCCCATCGGCTACGCCTTACACTGATCTTCCAGGGTTATTTTACCCCCAACAGTTGGTTTTGGGGGGCCTTGAACTGACCCAAAACAAAGTACAATCCGGATTCCCCCTCAACCAGGGTATTAGTAATTACCCAATTCAATTGGGGTTCATGAATGAGGCATGGGTTATTAGTACGATAATTGGACATCCTTGCTGGTCTTGTATTTCATCCGGGTCTGTCCGGAATCTGCGCAGTTGTTTGTCCCACTGGGGTGTTGTTTTTACTTTCCCCACACTCTTAGAAACACTCAAAATGACTCGTTATAAGTTTTCACTCATTGTTCCAGCGGAAAGGCAGTCGCTAATGGTTAGACAAATTTTACCGAATGCAACAGTCATAATTGGGTTTGGTTTTTTAGAATAGTTTTTGTTTACTCAACTAAGCAATCCATAATTATAATTATTTAATTTAACTATTAAATAGTAGAATAACTATTTATTGAAAACGACTATTCGTTGTTTTTTTTGTTGTGATTAAATGTATTTACGTTTTCTTTTCTTATTTAACAATTAAGAAATTGCATTTATATTTATTTTTACTGCTTTTACCATTTTTTATACTCGAGAAGGTCTCGCAGTTTGTTTATTTAAGCAAAGATTAGAAAATGGTTTGATTACTTACATAAGATTTATGTGTTTATTAAGTACTACTTGTCACGTCCTATACGGCGGGTTACTCATACTGCCTGTGCATTCGGTATCTTCAGAGTTGCCACTGGGTCAGTGTGTTGGAAAAAGTGAGAAAAGTGAGTTTTTTAACGAAAATAGTGAGAAAATAGTCAATAGATAAATAAGTAATTTTTAATGATGTAGCATTAAAAAAGAAATAAAAAGAAAACCTTTGTAAATAAATAAATAAAATTCTCATCTTCTAAAGTCTTAACAAAAATAAATAAATAAAATTCTCATCTTCTAGTTTTAACAAAAATAAATAAATAAAATAAGCACCCATATAATATACTTACCACTACCAATAGACAAAATAACGAAATAATAAACAAATAGGTAACCATTTACTTAATGGTTAATGATCTTCGCCGATAAACCTTCATACATTGCGGCCAAAGTTGGGAGGCAAATCGAAACGTCCACAATATCGTTAGGTATATTAAAAAACAGAACTCATAAAACTATTGAGATAATCGTTTTTAATGGCTTTTTTACAATAATTATTAAAAAACGCTTAAAACTGTCACGCCAATACTTAAAACAAATAAGCTATATTGTCAACTGTCTTTTTAAATCCAGCCAATAGGAGAACGTTTTGCTTTTGTAAACTGGGTTTCATAATGTGGATTCCATTTATATAAAAATAAATGCAGAAAACACAAATATGTTAGAATTTTGGTTTTTTTTTCACCCAAGAAAATTTTGAAAATAGTGAGAAAGGTGAGAAAACAACAAAAAAGTGAGCAGAAGTGAGTTTTTATGAAAAAAGTGAGAAAAAGTGAGAAAAGTGAGCCAGTGGCAATACTGTATCTTTGGTCTATTTAATGTAGGGGTTCGTTAACCCTGTTCAACTATTTATTCTTTCTTGTTGATTTCTACGAATTTGTCACTTGGGAAGGTATAAACACACCCGTAGGCTCGGTGAATTCTTATTTGTGCAAATAGCGAATTGCAAATATTAAAAAACTTAATTGAATATGGCTCCTTGTCCCCTTGTAATTAGTCTCTTCCAGGTTTATGCCGTTCAGGTGGGTGGTTCCGTGACTTCGACAAGGGGGGTGGCCAGGGCCGGATTTAATCATGGGCACTTTGGGCAACTGCCCAGGGCGGCAAATTTTTGGGGCGGCAAATTTTGGTGGAAAGATTCATATTTTCCGAAACATTAAAATTTGGTTACGAAGATATCATTATAGTCTAAGAATATTAGTGAAAGCTAAAACATTCACCCATTTGTTAAATCCAAACTCCTCATAATTACCTACATATAACTAAATGTATGATTTTACAGGGCGATTTTTTTAGAAAAAAATTCATCAACTTAACTCAGTTTATCTCAAACTATACATTGCGCAGTGGAAATTTGAATTTTGGCTCTGCCCGACACGGCGCCTCCCCCGTGGCTGCCATATTGTGTCGTATAATAATTTTATCTAGTGTAGTGCTGCCAAATATTACATTACCGTGTATGTACTATGTGGTACTATGTAAACAGAACAGTCTGGAACAGTCTTTTTCTACTCCTATTACGGAATATAATACAATGTAATTATATAATACCACTTTTTAATGTGGAATTGCATATATTCCTTAAACTCTTACATAATGAAATATTCTATCATCGGATGGCGGAATATGGTCTAAAATATCATTTTTCAACGTTGTTCAATCATTGTACAACTTCTTTACTACGTCAACACATCGGTGGGAAATTTTGAGGTCCACTGAGAAAACCAAATTAATAACATTAGCATCTTTGTATCAATATCAAGAAATTTACGAAAACTTTGCCATTATCGTTCAATTTGATAAGCTGGAATCTGAGGAAATTCGTGAAAAATCAAAATTACTGAGAGAAATCTATCACTCAGACTTTGAATCATTGGACGATGAGTTTGTTCACTTCCACGCATTTTGTCATGCCAAAAAAATTCACAAAAAGTCTCCATTAGAATTATTAAAATCAATTCGTGAAAATGAATTGTCCTGCGTTTTTCCGAATGTTGAAATCGCCTATAGAATATTCATTACTATTGCTGTAACCAACTGCAGCGCAGAAAGGTCGTTTTCCTGTTTAAAAAGGATAA